GAAGGTTGTATCACAGCTTCATAGTGTGTTATGCTCCTGTCTGTTTTATAAGTCAATTGTGTTCTTAGTATAGTGGCTGATCTTCCATCTCCTTGGCTCTCTTGTGTAGATTGGCACCTCTCTGTATGATGAAGAAGGAGCCAAGATTGTCAAAGATCTCATGTCCAAAGCTGAGAAAAATGGTGTGAAGATTACCTTGCCTGTTGACTTTGTCACTGCTGACAAATTTGATGAGAATGCCAAGACTGGCCAAGCTACTGTGGCCTCCGGTATACCTGCTGGCTGGATGGTGAGTCAGCTGGCTGTATGCTTATGTAAGGGATCAGAAATTTTTGGTAATCATCAATTCATACATCTAACAGATTTTTTTTTTGTGGCGTTTGAGATCCATCTGTTTTCTTCATAGAGCTCTCCCCTCCAACAGGCATAGTAATAGTTTCCATGGGAACTGTCAAAAAGCACTGCAAATGATGCAGTTGGCACCCAAGGGCAAATCCCTGGGGTAAAAGCAGTGCTAGCAGATTGCTGCTGTTTTCATCACTACGATGGCAAAGCCATTTGGTTCTTTTTCAATGAATGTTTAACACTGTGCTAGATAGGATACTATGTACTTTCATGGTTTGAATTGTTCTGGATTACAATGCTAATAGCTGCGAGCCATTGTAAGCAAACATTCAGGTCATTGAGATGGCTCAGTGGGTAAAAGTGCTTGCTACACAAGCCGCATGGATCTGAGATATCTGTGGGACCTGCACTGGAAAGAGGAAATAGATTTCCAAAAATTGTTCTAACTTCTACATGACATGTGTATGCTCCCACAATAACAATAATCCTAAGAAATAAAAATTAAAAACGTTCTCAAAACATAGATAATCAAAATATGGGCAGTGGTGGCCCATGCCTTTAATCACAGCACTCAGGAGGCAGAGGCAGAAGGATTTCTGAGTTTGAGGCCAGCCTGGTCTAGAGGACAGCCAGGGGATAAAGACAGGAACCCTGTCTTGAAAAACAAAACAAAAATGAAAGTGAGCTCAATTGTAAGGAATGTATGAAAAATATATGCATACGAAAGGTTTAGAACTGATTACATTTTGGTACCAAATACCTTCTCTTTTTTCATCTTCATGATGGTCTTCATCTTTAGTCTAGGTGGACCTTAATATCCTGCCTCTCTGCTTAGTAATTAATTACTACTGGTGTGCTGCTACATCTTTAGTCTGATAACTATAAAGTCATGTCATGTTGACTGATAGTTGCTTATCATTTTTCTTAGACGTTTTTCTGTTATATTGTTTCTCAAAGTGTGGTCCTCAAGCATCATTTAGGGAAATTGTTTTTAAAAGGCAAATCTGGGGTCTGAAGAGATGGCTTAGCAGTTATGGGGAGTTAGGTTCCTAGTCATCCATGCAACTACTTAAAACTGCAGTTCCAGGGGATCCAATGCCCTTGCTGGCCTCTGGGACATCATATACACATGCGTGAAAATAAAAATAAATCATACAGACTAGGGATGGTGGCACTCACACTACTCCTGTACTTGGGGACAAGGGCAAGCAGGTCTGAATTTGAGGCCGGCTTGGTCTATATAGCAAATTTCAGGTCAATCAAAGGTACATAGTACAATAATGTCTTAAAAAAGGCAGTAGGAGTGGGATCCAACACATTGTTTGAGCCTGGCTTCCTGGAGGTCCTCATACATGGAAGGTTGAACACAGCCCATCTGCTTCAGTGTTTCTCAGTCTCTACTGGAGTCGCGAGGAGTTCTAGCTGTGGAAAGGCTGTAAGACATGTAAAGTACCACCAGCTACAGTGTGTCACTTGTGCACATCCCAACTTGTGACATGTGACAAAAAATGTCTTCAGACATTGGCACATACTCTTTAACAGGCCGAATCACTGCAGGTTGAGAACCACTGATGTGGACCTTGGCTGTCACAGTGCCATTAAGAATGCCTTTTTTTTTTCCCGCCTTTTGAGTCAGGGTTTTTCTGTGTAGCTCTGGCTGTCCTGGAACTCACTCTGTAGACCAGGCTGGCCTCAGAAATCTGCCTGCCTCTGCCTCCCAAGTGCTGGAATTAAGGGTATACATCACTACTTACTTCCTGGCCCTAGTAGAAACAGTTGATGTTCAGCCTTATTATGGTCTTGGTGGGGGTGATATTAGTTCCTAGTAAGTTTTCTTGACAGTTACCCTCTTTAACTCTATCCTCCAGGGCCTGGACTGTGGTACTGAGAGCAGCAAGAAATATGCTGAGGCTGTGGCCCGAGCTAAGCAGATTGTTTGGAATGGTCCTGTTGGGGTATTTGAATGGGAAGCCTTTGCCAGGGGAACCAAGTCGCTCATGGATGAGGTGGTGAAAGCCACTTCTCGGGGTTGCATCACTATCATAGGTAAGGGGCCCTGTACTAAACTCACGAACACTGGGCAGAGTTATGTTCAGGGGAAGGCAGATGGAATGGCTAACATTTTCTGTGTCTCTTGGTTCTGATAGTTCATAGATGTGTCACTCATAGGAGATCCCCTTGATGGGAGGGAGCTTCATTAGCTATATTTTGGGTTGGGAACCACACTGTTAGTTTTGGTGCCAAAACATTTTTCCCCTCTGGTCTTCATTCAACAGGTGGTGGAGACACTGCCACTTGCTGTGCCAAATGGAACACAGAGGATAAAGTCAGCCATGTGAGCACTGGGGGCGGTGCCAGTCTAGAGCTCCTGGAAGGTGAGCATATTCTCTGTCTTTTGGCTTCTTAGGAGGCAGGGTGAGGACTGCATTCTGAGAAGTGGGGCAGAGAGTGGTGAACATTAGCTTTGGGCAGTTCTGTCACTAGCAATCACATTAACTAGGTAGCACAAAGAAGCTCCTGCCTCCACTTGGTGGGAGGGGGAGGTAGAACCACAATTTTAGTTGATCTGGGATCCAGAATGCAGCTCTAATAAAGAGCTGGCAGATGTAGCTTAGTGGATCTTGTAATGCTGTCTCTGTGTGTTTTTTCAAAAACAGGTAAAGTCCTTCCTGGGGTGGATGCTCTCAGCAATGTTTAGTATTGTCCTGCCTTTGGTTCCTGTGCACAGCCCCTAAGTCAACCTAGTGTTTTCTGCATCTCCATTTGGTGTTAGTGCAAGATTCACCAAGATGCAGCACCAGGAACCCTTAAACAGTTGCACAGCATCTCAGCTCGTCTTTACTGCATCGGGATTTGTCTACATTCTTCAAGATCCCATATCAATTCCTTAGTGACTAAAACCATTGTGCGTTGTAGAGGGCATCTATTTATACTGCCTGTGAAAGGAAGTGAGCTGTAAAGGCTTAGCTCTCTTTGATGTATGTAGCCTCTGGTTAGCTTTGTCACTGTTCATGACTCAGCATGGAAATATGATGAAATTCCAGCTGTAAACAATAAAGATGTCCACGAAATTGAGTTTTTCCTGTCGTAATTTGTTAGGAGGGGTAAGAACAGGAGAGTACCTACATTTTGAACAGAAGGATTGGGGCTGCAGTGGTGGTGGGGTGGGATTAGATAAATGCCCACTCCTTACTGGAGGCCTATTCTATTGCCTTATGATAATGTTTCATAGTTGGATACCATAATTTAAAAAGCCAAGGCCTATAAACAAGCAAAACCAAATTAAGGGCCAGCTCATTCCTCCCTCTCATGATCCATATTCTCCTGTGACCATTTTTTTTTCTCTTGATTCCCACTTCATGGTTCTAAGTACTGTGGTTTCCAAATGTGTGTCATAGCCTGAAGAATGAGATCATCAGCCTCTGTTCCTTATACACTTTATTCTCAGTGGTTTGCCAGTGTTCTAATTGGACCAGAAGTTTACATTATGAAGATTCTGGGCCTGGTGTTTGATTATAATCTCACCACTGGGTGGCGTGGAGGAGAGACAAGTTCATCCTTGGATACATGAGTTTGGCCAGTCTGGTCTATATGAGACCCTGTCTCAAACCGTAAGGTTTAAGTTATGATTATAAGTACCCTTTATTTATGTTTTTAGTATGCTATATTTTTGTCATTTTAATTTTCTTTTTTTCTTTTTTTGCTGGGCATGGTGCACTTTGATCCTAATACATATGAAGGCCACCAAGTGAGACCTATTTAAAAATAGAAAAATAAAACAATAATTTCCCCAGTTTTTTAATGCTACCGACTCATTCCAACACCCACTATATGAACACTATAGTATATGTGAACACATCAGATAGTTTTTTTTTTAAGTTTAGAAATCTGCTGGAATCCTTGGTGCCTCTCTGTTCCAGTTCTTGGCTGCCCTACATTGGATAGGTGTTGCAGGGATTTTTGCTTGGAAATCCTTAATTTCATTTTCCCCTCTGTTTATTCTTATTTTGGAGTTACTGTGTAGCCCAGGCTGACAAGGTTGTGCTTCCAGATTTAATATAAAAATTACTAATGTTAATTAGTTAATGATAAATGTTATAGACATGTATTTTAAGTAAAATCACCTTGAATGTTTCCACCTACTCCCCATGTTATAAATGAATTCAAATTTGGGCTTCTGAGGGCTGTGTGTGTGTGCGCGTGCGTGCGTGCATGCATGCATGCGTATGTAGAATTACAAGAATTTTACAATACTGTTTGACCTAGCCCTAAACACGTGATCCTGATCCAGCCAGACCCCTATCCCCAGTGCCCATTGTCTCCTGCTTTTTCATACCCTATTATAGGTTTATATGTAATCAAAAAAAGGGTATCTAGTGAGTGATAAGGCACCATTTAGCTGTCTCCTGACTTCCCTTCCCAGAAACAACCTTCTTAAGACTAGTTTTAGTTCAGTACAAGGTTCTATACATGTACAAATTCCCACTAAAGAGCATCTTAAGTTTGTAAGACTTAAAGCCATATTTGATTTTCATTATTTTCTTTACCATGAGTCAAATGCTAATTCCTAGCAACATCAGTAGCTCTGAATCACTACACTGATGCCTTAGTCACTTTCCTTGAATCCCTTCAGTCAAAAAATGAAAGGTCACTGATTAAAGTTAAATTTTTATTAATAACGTTGAAACATACATTAATAATTATATAGCTTTTACAATCTTGAACTTTCACACACACTAGCTAAACCCTCACAACATCCCTGTGAGGTAGGCAGGGTAGATGTTATTTTATTTCCCTACTACAAGTGAGAACAAGGCTCAGAGGTAAAGTAAGGTCACATTGTTGGTAAATGAAACTAATACTAGAACCTAGGCTTTCTGGTATTCTGCCTCCCTGAGAACATTCAAGTCCTGACATCTGTGTTGTATACTACACATTTCTCTTATGATACTGAACAGATCAGCTTTCCCTAACCTTCCTAGACAATTCAAACTGACATGAAATATTTCTGTCTTGTTACTCATCTATTTCATGTGTCAAACACCATCCTATGTTGATAATTAGTAAATTTTGATGATCCATGGCTATAAATTTTAAGTGACATGAAAGTTTCAGAAATTTCTTTCTGATATTGGCTATGTGGAACTTAAACCAAATTAAAAAGGTTCTTATATGAAAAAAGCTTTGCTGTTTCCAATGAGTCTTGTAGGTATTTATAAAAGCAAAGTGTATAGAAATATGGTTGGGAAATTCTGTAGGGTACTTAAATGGAGTCAGATGATGACACTAATCTGTTTTCCCTGTTGGCCTGATAGGGAAAGAGAATCATTAGAATCTTCCTTCAGGCTTGATCCCATCTTATGTGTGGCAACCTCAGCAGCAAACTAGAAAGGTGATCTGAATGAAACCAACGGACTGGTTCAAGCAGTAGTGACCAAAGCATATGCAGGTGGTAAGAAAAACAACAAAGCTCTTCACTGGTTTTGTCTGGGTCCAGTGTAAATTACTTACCAAGGCAGGTTTTAAGTTATATCTTAAATTATAAACATGAAAGACTGTGAAGCTAGCAACTTGGAATGCAACTGAATGTAATTGATGCAAAACTGCCAATCAATGAGAAGAGCTAGACTAATAGGCATGAAAGGCAAGGGCTGAGACCCAAATGCTCTGTTATGGAGTGAGAAAGAGCAAATGCAGACACTCAAGTTCAAGGGAACTCCAGAGTGCCAGGCATTTAGGGCATATTACAAATTCCAGTCACAGTCTATTAAATTTAAGTGCAATGGCAAGTGACTTAAGGCGATGAGAGGTGGGAACAAAAACCTAACTAGATCTAGATAGGGAATTAGGAAAGACTAAAACCCAAATATACTCAAAATGGGTTTAGCACACTTCTAAATCCATTGTTTCAAAAAAAAGTTTCCTAAATTGAGAGATTTGGTCAAAAAAGTGACAATGTGAATAGTTCACTATCAAAAAAAAAAGTCCTGTTTAAATGTAAATGAGACCAGGATCTGAAATCCAAGCGCTGCTGTCAGCTGCGGTCAGTGACACATAGCGGAAAACTGCTTCTAAAAATAGAGCTGCCATGGTGAGACTCGACATTTAATGAAGCTGTCTAGAAGCAAGTACTTGTATACCTGAAGCCTACTGAGAAAACATTTGTATGCATTGTAACAACCTACCAGATGTAACTAATGTGAAAAATACTGCCACTACATTTCTAAGATAAAACTTACGAAGACCTAGGCTGTTGAGTCCACCATATGGGCCCAAACACACGAAAATGTTAATGTATCAGACCAGACTATTTCTTACATAGTGTCATCATCATCATCATCATCATCATCATCATCATCATCATGCTTCCTCTTTAGTGGGTTTGAGTCGGTGGCTGTGCTCTGTGAGGAAACCATGTTGGTGGCAATGAGAAGATTTTTGGGCCCAATCATTGAAGGATTGATCAGAACATTTTGGACTGAAGTCGATGCAGGAGCTGTAAACAGAAGAGACCCCCCCCACCCCCCAGATGTGAATTACCCATGATCCAAAAGTAGACAACAAAGCAGAATGTAATTTTAGATGAGTTTCAATAGCATAGTACATAACTACATCATAGAAGAGACAGGTAATTGCTAACGGTGGAATTCAATCTTTAAAGATTTTTATCTTAAATTTTCCAATAGTGATATTTACCAGGCATAAGGATGTTTAGATATATGTATACATAAATATTAAATCTCTCTAAACCTATTATTGCAGAATTAACAAAATTTTGTTTTATTTTTAATTACCTGAATTTTAAATTTGCTTTAGTACACTGGATTCATGTGCAAGGCCAAGAGACATGCTTCTTTTATAGGGCATTTTCTAAAACAATTACATTTATTTATGTGTGTGTGCATGTGTGCAGGTGTGTATGTACCATGGAACACATATGGAGGTCAGAGGACAACTTTTGGGGGGAGTCAGTTCTCTTTCTACAATGGGAGTCCTGGGGACTGAACCCAGGTCATGAAGTTTGGTGGCAAGTACCCTTACCCAAGAGCCACTTTGCTGCCCCAACTTTTATGTAAGTTGTTTCTTTTATGGAGATATGTTTCAAAAGATGTGCAGCCTAAACACACATATTAGTAAAGTGCTGTGCCAGCAGTCTCTTTACATTAGTCCAATCACAGCTGCCACCTATGACATGAGTAAAGGCACATTTTTATTCTCATTTACATTGGGATCATACAAGTGCATCCCTAAACTGTATCAGTGTTTTGGGTTTTTATTCAAAGTGCTTTTCCCTGAAGACATACATCTTAGATCTGTGAACCCCAATTTCTTTAGTTTATAGTATTTTAGAGTTTGATGAGCACCTCAATATGCCACCCTCCTGAAATTTTAGGTATATGTAAAACTTCATGCAATCATACAGACATTGCTGGAAGAACCCTGGCTTGCAGCTTTACCTATCACCTTCCTGCTGTGACACTAAAAAAAAAGTCTTCCTACACTGAAACAAACTGTTGTATAATTAAGAATTACTCATGAATTCCATCTCCTCTTCTGTATCACGTTACCTGGTTTGGCAGATGTGGACTGAGAAGGTGGAATCTGCATGGCAAATCTTTGGCTTGTCATTGACACTGGAGTTGAAACCTTATTTGGGACAGATACTGCTTGTGGGGGTGCTATAGTTGAAATGAACAGATCATACTAGTTAGATGACTTAGTGCACATTCATACTCTATAGTCCATAGCTTGTAGGAATACACCTTCAAAGTGCAGAGGGCTGATAGGTGATGAGAAAGTATCATTAGAAAAGAAGGCAGAGTAATTTAAGATCTTTATAATGGGTATTCTTCCCCTGTAACCCCTCTCTTATTCTGGGGAGTTTCCCCCTCACTTTTCCTTAGTGTAAATATGTTTCCTGTGCTTTAAAATAAAAAGTAATTGAAAAATAAAATAAAATAAAAAGTCATTGATGTCACAGGAAAGGAGGATGCTGGAGGGGGAGTGAGGTGGGGGGATGGGTACATGAAGTGGGTGGGTGGGGGGAACACCCTCTCAGAAGCAAAGGGAGGGGGGATGGGTGAAGAACTCTGGGAGGGGGAACTGGGAAAGGAGGTAACATTTGGAATGTAAATAAATAAAATAATAAAAAACAACAAAACCCAAAAAGGTAAGTTTGCTCAGTTTTAAAGATTGAGTGTTTAAATAGAAAGTTTGGATTAAGACTTATTTTCTAGGTGGTTAAACTCTAAATGTTTAACAGATGGCTAGTAATGTAAAAAAGCAACTGATACTGAAATGGGCTTCCTTGCATGTTACGTGTAACTGATCACTATGCCCTGTTATTCTTAAGTGCAGTAGTACACACCTGTCTAGCTGTGCTAGCTGGAGGCAGGGTCAGGCGGAACACTTCAGTTGAGGATTTAAGACAAGCCTGGGCAACACAGATAACTTTCAAAAAAAGCAAAAATTTGATGTTTTAAGTTTTAAGTTTCCCTTAATTGATGTGATTATACAGGTAAGAAGTACTTGACTGAAAAGTTACACAGATTTTTATGTGCAAATTTCTATTCATAGGAGGCCATATGTGGATTATTGGAGCTACACACCTAACTGATAATAGTTTAAAAATGCTGGCATGTACATTTATATCCTGAGAATATAGAGAGATTGTTCACACCTCAAGGGTCAAATCTAGCTGGGCAGTATTCTTCAAGTGAAATCTGAATACGCAGAAGACTGAAGGATAGCAAGTTTAAGGCTATCCTGGGTTATAGAGGAAGACTCAGTTTTAAAAAAATTAGTCTTATACTAGAAGTATAATGAAACCTATAAGACTCAAGTTAAAGACAGTAAGAGTCATGAAATTAATACAAGTAAAAAGAAGAGGATTTTTTTTTCTGAAAATCATGAAAAAAGTCAGAAAACTTAATTTTTCCTTTTGAGGGATAGTGGTTTGAGTTGAGACAGGGTTCCTTTGTGTGTACCCTTGGCTGATCTGGAACTCACTCTGTAGACCAGGCTGGCCTTGAACTCAGAACAATCCTTCCTGCCTCTGCTTCCCAAATGCCACCACTGCCCAACTCCTTAATTAAAAAAAAAACATTACAAATAATGGTTACCATTCTCTAAAAAGACCTAAGGCTCTTTGGAAAAGTGTTTGATTCTAAACCTTGGACATAGAAATGTAAGAGGCTTGGAACAGTGTATGTCAGAAATATCCACAGTAAAATGGAGAGTTATCAAATGGAGTTCAGGACACAGCTTTGAGGGCTCTCAATACAGGATAATTAGTATGATTTTCTTTTTTGAGATGGGGTTTGTCTACGCTACCCAGGCTGGTCCTTTTACTGTTTTAAAAAGGTAAGTATTAAAGACTATTTTTAAGAATGTTGAATGTTTTGTATATTCTAACAATCTTTGAACCTATACCCACTTTATTGAGACATTTGTTAAGTTCTTATCTAAGTAGGTAGCTGGCATGGGTGTGTTTGGAGACCTGAACATAGAATGTAGAAACAGCTAAGAATAAAGAGTTTCTGGATCACAGTTTATATGAACAAGGGATAGGCCAATGTCATTTTGGATAAGTCAGTCTTTGTGGTTTTTTTTTTTAAATCATTGAATCTAGTTGTATGACTCTGAAAAACATGTTCATATTTTTACCAGAGGATGAATAAAATTATCAGTGGTTTATGACTCCCATTTTGACTTAGGTTATGGTTCAAAAGCAAATGCTGAGAGGCTGTTTTTACTGTTTAGAAAGGCTATTTTCCCCTTCACTTACCTACAGGAGGAGTAGTAGGTCTGCTACTGACTGCACCAACACTTAATCTAGGAACGAGTCTTCCTTGGTTAGGTCCCTAGGGAATTTAAAAACAAGTTAGTTTTGATGGTAAGTTTTGACACTTAAACTCGATGAAGAGTAAAATTTTAACTGTCGATGTGGGTTATTAATGGATGATCCAATGCAAAAAGATTTGATTTTATTGTGTTTTCTTTTTCTTTTTGTCATGATGCTGAGGACTGAACTCTCCTGCTTTCAAACCAATTATTTGGAGTTTTTGCATCATCCATCCATCCATCCATCTATCCATCCATATATCCATAATAGGACCCTATTAATTCTGTATGTTTAAGGCAGACAAATGCTCACTTGTATTATAATATTGGATTTTAACTAGTCAGTGTCTTAACTCTGACTAAATTAAAACTGTCTTATAGCAGAATTTCAGAAAACAAGGGTGGCCCAAGATGGAGAGTTCTCTTTTCAGTGCTCAGAGAGCTTTAGGTCATATGTCTGAAAAAAGTCTAGTTACAAATGGCATATCATTCACTTCATTATTGGATGTCACACACAGAAATCTATGGCAAGGTAGAAGGTTTGTGAGCTACCAGATCTGGGACTCAGTCCTAGCTTTGTCCCTGACTCCATGAGTTCAGGTTCAGTTGTATGATAAGAAAAATTCCCACTGGATTAGATGAAATAATAAAATTCCTTCTAGCTCTGAAAAAAATCCAAGAATTATTTTAACCTTTACTGTGCTTCTATAGGAATTTGACTTTCTATAAGTTTACCTATTACTTCAACCCTTTAAAAGACTAAGCTTGAGGGACCTGTAGGGGACAGGGACTCTGTATGACAGACAGATCAACTAATCTGGATACGTGGAGACCCCCAGAGACGGAACCACCAACCAAAGTGATAGGATGGGCTGGCCCCAGGCCCCCTGCACATATGTAGCAGACATGCAATGTGGTCTTCATTTGAGTCTCCCAACACCTGGAGTGGGGGCTGTCCCTGAGTCTGTTCCCTGCCTGTGGATCCTGTTCCCCTAACTGTGCTGCCTTGTCTGGCCTCAGTGGGAGAAGGTACATCTAGTCCTTGTAGTGACTTGATGTGCCAGAGTGGGGGGATGCCCAAGGCGGTTCCCCTTCTCAGAGGAGAAGGGGAGGAGGGATGAGGAGAGAAGGAGCTGTGTGTGTGTTGGGGGAATGGAAGAAGGAGGAGCATCTGGATGTAAAGTGAATAAACAAACTAATGAAAAAAAAACTCCATAAGCTAACTGAAACTCCCCTGTCCCCCCTTTTGACATTAGCAGTCCATGTAGCCTAAGATAGCCTTGAACTCCTAATTCTGCCTCAGCATCCCTACTGTTGGAACTACAGGCAGTAGCTACTACACCTGTCCAGAAAATCTTACCTTTTTAATTAAGGACTTCAGCCTGTAGTTTGGAGCTGTTAAGCAGTATCTATCAGGTGGCAGTCTAGGTCCTGCATATGGCTTAATCAGTGGCAAAGGCATTTGATTCTTCTGCCTTGCAATATCCAGTAAAAACTAACAGAGAAAAATCCTCATTTAGAAATATAATTTTTAAAGTGTAAGTAAGAATAACTGCAAATAAACGTTTGCTCACATCTCTCGGAGGAGGAGAGGTAAAAGATTGGTCAGCTCGACACTGGATTGCCAGTCTCACATCATCTGCATCAACAGTAGCTTTCTTAGCATGGCTTGAATAAATTTTTGCATCGTCCAGAATTGTAGTCACATATCCTTTAAGAGCAAAATAGTTTTATCTTAAACGAATGAAGCTATTTCAAGGCAGGATCTTAACTAGCCTATACTAGTCTCACAATGTAGCCAAGGGATACCTGAACTCCTGATCCCCTTGCCTCTCCTTCTCAAGGGCTACATTACAGTATGCATCACCAAGACTAACCTAAAGGCATCTTACTATTTATGCCCCCTTGTTTTAAAAGGTTCCAGTAATTTCTGGAACATTTGTGAATTTTGGTTTTAATAACTAATTGTCCTATTCACATGCTTTACATAAGCGGACACGCCATATTTAATTACTACTGTCCCTTAACTTGTGCTCCTTTTTAGTGCTTTACTCATTTCTAGATTAGTAACAACTGATTTTGGTTTGAAGTGTTACAGCAAACGATCTTTTCTAATTCATGAGGTCAGGTTTGGGTGTATTTATTTATTTATTTAACTTACGGAAAGCAAATTCCAACATTTGATTTATAACCCTTGGCTCATACTCTGTGATTCCCATATCCTTCAGGATCTGTGCCATCACCTGTGGATTCAAATAAAAACAAAATGCCAGACGCGCGATGTAAGTGAACGAAATCAAGGCTGGACCGAAGGCATATTTTTATATGTAGCAAACTGCTCCTTCTTGTGCCTCTCCCAGTGCGTGTCTGTCAGTAATCACACAAAATTAGTCATATGCTCTTGCTGAAAACTTTTAGCAAGGGTGAGAGCAAAGGCACATGAGTGGCCGGCCTTTACGGGCTTTCCAGGCAGAGGTGGGGGGGGGGTCCAGCTGGCTGTCATTTTCGGATCTGTCAGTGAGGGAAGCTAGCATCAAAACCCATGTCGCAGTTAGGGCTCATAGTGAAGCGAGGAGGCTGCAGACTTGGGGGTGGGGGCAGCCTCGGGTCAGTGAGACAAAGCCCCGCGGCAGCCCTTTTGAGGGGCTCCCCAGGAACACGGACGGCGCCCCGGGCATAGGGGAACCCCATTTTCCCTTTCCCAGTCGCTTCTCCCAGCTGCAAACGGCGTGTGAGCCCCCCTACCCATCCCCCTCCAGGCGTTGGGTCTGGCCTTTCTCACAGGTCCCAATGCCACCGAGTGCGCCAGGTCCCCGCTCCCCTCGCGCTCACCAAGGCATCCCTCGGAGCGTTCTTCACAGGCGCCATCTTGCTCGGCTCCATTTTCTCTGGCGGCTCCTCAACCACGGAGATAGAGCTGCAGGCGGTTTCCACCTCGACCAGGCTCCACCCCTGTGGGGGATGGAAGGCGGTCTTAGCATGCAGCGCCTCGGCGTGGGCGGCTTCACAGCCGCCAGCCCCCACCTGTGTGGGCTTGGCTACCCAGGCTCCATCGAGGCTCTGAGGTGGAGAGGAGCAGAGAAGTCGCCCTAGCAACGCTCATCGACCTTGCACCACTCATCTCCAGCTCCCCTCACTCCCGCTTAATGACCACTGGTCCTCTGAGTTTACTGGAATTCCCTCACAGGCTCTTCCTCCACTCTGTCTCTGCGTGAACAAGGTTCTGGCAAACACAACAGCTTGTTACATTTGAATATCACAGTAACAACGAATGTGTATCACCACATTGACACAGGCCATACTGATACTACAAAATTAGTTGCTGCTTAGCTGACATTCAAATTTAACTGGGCATTATGAAATCTTTTTCAAATCTGGCAACCTTACCCAATAGACCAGAGGTTTTCCACCTGTGGGTTGCGACTTCTTCAGGGTCGAACTGCCCTTTCAGAGGGGTTGCATATCAGATATTTACAAAAACACATTTACATTGTTTACATTACAACTCATAACAGTAACAAAATTACAGCTATGAAGTAGAAACGAAAATAATTTTATGGCTAGGGGTTACCACAACCTGAGAAACTGCATTAAAGGCTACAGCATTTCGAAGGTTGAAAAATCACTGCAACAGACACTATTTTTCACACGCAGGGATTTGGTCAAGCCTACAAAGGCACCTGCTTCCCTTGGTCCTCACGGTCTGAGGGGCTCCAACCGCTGAGGTGGAAACTGGACTTTTTCTTGTCTCCCAGATTTCCCACTTCCATATTTTTTTTCCTGAATATGTTAGGCATAGGGACCGGAAAACAAAGGATCAGAACAGTTAAACGCTCTTCCAGCAAGACAAGTCTGACTACCTCTGACCTCTACAAATGCCTCTGGGCTTGAGAACTATGCATTCACACCATGGCATCTACTTCCCCTACCCTTAGAATTATGAAGGCATCAGTTAACGGTCTCTAGTTTAAAATGACTCAGAGAATCCCAGTCCTACGTTCATCAACAGCTCTATCCTCTTCTGCCTTCGAAAAGGTTGCCATGACACCTAGATTAGATATAACTAAGCCCATTAATTAGCGACAAGTCCTATCAGGGTGACTTCACAAAATTACATCACATTTCTTTGGTATTTAGTTCTAGAGCTATGAGGGTAACATCTTTCCGCCAACTGCTTCCTAAGATTATAGAACTAGGCTGCCCAAATAAGGCCCTTTCACTTCCTCACACCTGAAGGGGTCTCTTAGTTATAACAAATACTGTTTTACTTAAAATTCTCCACTAGTATCTTTCACATATTAATTTAAAATTTCGGGGCTTAGCGAACCCTTAAGTTTGGGTTCGGCAGTTTACCTCATCCGATGTCTCAGCAATCTCCTCCGAAGCAGCCGACTCCTCGGAAGCCATCTTGAACTTTGACGCTCTTGCCGGACACACGCTAACGGCTCCCAAGCCACGCCCCACGCCTCAGCGCCACGCCTCAGCGCCACGCCTCAGCGCCACGCCTCAGCGCCACGCCCCAGCGCCACGCCCCCTGATCCCCCCTCCCTCCAACTCCCTGTGCCTTAGCTATGCTTTATTTTCCAGTGTGAACCTTCGTTGTTCCGTAGCATTTTTCCCCACTCTTAAACCAGCTGACCAATGTTCACAACTAAGGATTACCTTTTCAAAACAAGTAGAAACTAGTAAATGAGTAGTTTGTACACAGTATATAACAATTTAAAAAAAGAAAAAGCACTGCTTGACTCCCACAATTTTGACTTAAAGATTGTCTATGAAAAATATAAGGAATATCTTGTTTCTATCGTCTTTTCCTTATTTTACTTTGCTGCATCCAAATTTCCAGAATTATTAATCTTGTGCCTTGGGGCCATTTGTTAAGTAAAATAACAGTTATTTGCCCACATGCGCTGCAGTAGCTCATATGACAACTGAAATAGTTACTGGCTCATGGGTGAATCTGTATATAGCTGGAATGCACCAGACAAAGTGATGGCTCAATATGGGAGGGCGCAAGAATTTAACATACTACTGAGAACAGCTTGCAATTTATGATTCATGGATTGTTAATTTCTGGAATTTTTTATTTAATAAGTTTGGATTATGGTTGACAACAGGCAACTGAAATTGTGGAAAGCAAAAAACAGATTTAGAGAAATTTCTGTAAAGAAATGAGAGTCCTGTTTCACCCTGATGCTTTTTCAGGTAACTTTGTGTGTGTGTGTGTGTGCTAAGCGTTCACACATGCTTGTGAGTGCTCTGAAGCTATTTTATTTTCAAATACAGCTCTTTTTTCTTTCTTGAATGAGAGATGTTTCACAACCTACACATAATGTCTATGCTGATTAGTTTTTTTTTTTTTGACAACTTGACACAAGCCAGGATCATTTGGAAGAAAAAACCTCAACTGACAAAATGCCTTTTTAAGACTGGCCTTTAGGCAAGTCTTTGGAGTGTTTTCTTCATTGATGATTGATGTGTGAGGGCTCAGGCCACTGTGGGTGGTCCACTGCTAGGCAGATGGTCCTTAGTTGTATACAAAGCAGACTGGGCAAGCAATGGGAAATAAGGCAGCAAGCAGCACTCCTCTGTTGTCTCTACTTCAGTCCCTAACTTCCCTGAATGATGGAGTACAACTGTAAGATGAATAAATCCTTTCCTGCCCAAGTTACCTTTGGTCATGGTCTTCCAAAATCAAGCTCTTTTGGAGAAACAGCATAAAAATCTCTGAATTTTGTCTAGTGTCATCCCCAGTGTGTTTCTAAATTAAATGCATTTCTTTCTTTTCCACCTTAATAAAAATTTGAATGTTTAGCAGACTAACATTTTAATATCTTTTCTATGGCCAATTGTTATGCTAATCACTTTGCAGGCACATGTCTTAAGTAAGTTATTCCTTCTATTTATGGAAACTGAAGCATTTCAGGTACCTCTGTTCATTTTAAGAAACTGGAAAGTACACAAAAACTTCCATTATGAAATCTTTAATATGCTAGACAAGAAAATCACATCCTTATTCATCACAATTATATAGAAGACTTGCATATAGTACACCTAGTTGGTTAATATCTTATGATTTTCTTTGCTAGTAGTTTATAAACTGAGTAGAATATATTATAATTTATATTTGCAGGTTATTTGAATATGAACACAACTAAGCAAACTGTACTTTGTATTTGGACAGAATAGCAACATTTTGTTATATATTTTCTACAGTTTTATTAATATCTTTATGAATCCATTTACTCGGCGTGAAACTCCGTTGTGTTCAAGTATACATTCCTAAAAATGAAAAGGAACATTTGTAGAAAGTATGATTGGTAGTAAGATCTGATCCACTTTACTGTATATATTTTTGAATATCTAAACTATTTCAACAATTGTTCTTTTCTTTATTTCTTGACTTTTTTTTTTTACAGTGGCTTTGAACTCACTATGTAGCACAGGCAGGTATTAAACTTGTGGTTTTCATGTCTCAGCTGCCCAAATCCTGCAATTACAGACATTGACTGCTGCATCTACATGGTTGCAGTTGGTTTCAACTCAATATTGGAGTCTTACTGAGAGGCGAGCAAACTGGATTTGGTCTCCATATGTCTTTCTACTTCCCTTTCTACCATGCCCAATTTTATATTCTTTTCTTTATATTATGAAGTATGCTTTATTTTTGTTATTGTCCTTCCTATTCTAGTGTGCGTGTCCTGGAAGATCAGAAGGACCCAACCACCATCATGAATAATTGGCTAGAAGTTAAGCACTATTAGGTAATATTTATTGAAGAAATATGTTATTTTCAGGTTTGTATTTGTTGTCAGGATCCTGTAGTGTTTTTGCACTTTTCTCTTTTTAAAGGATTCATTTATTATTTTTGTGTACCTGCATGATTGTATGTACCGCTTGAGTGCAGGAGCTCGTGAAGGCCAGAGGACATTGGACCTCCTAGAATGGGAGTTACAGATTTTTGCGAACCATTTGATATGGGTGGTACACACAACCCATAGCAGTAAGTGCTCTGAATGGCAGAGCTGCCTCTCAAGACCTGTTTTCTTTTCCGTTTAAGTGACCAAAAAGCCCTCAGACACCAGCAGTTGGACTATCCAGTTGGCCAGCTATCTGACTCTTCCTTTCTGATGCCCTGCCTTACAGGCAACTTTCAGGAAGTGGAATTGAGTGACTAACTCAGATTGAGGATAAAATGGAGGCTGGATTTGAATAAAACTGTTTGTCCAGGATTTTCAAGTCTTCTAGAAGTGCATGTCCATTAGCATGGTGGCAAGCACATCTAAAGCTTGGACATTTTCTCAGAGGCTGCACAAACTATTAATCAAACACTTGTTTCTTAGGTAATTGTCTCAACTGTCATCCATACAGCTTTGACTGCTTTAAGCACCTCACAACTACCTGGAAAACTATGATCCAGTTCAAATTTCTAGGGGAAGATCCTGGTGTAGCTACAGATGACCCAAGGGGAATCCCTTCCAGCAATTTAGACCACTAGTTGTGGCCACTTCAACACTGGGTTTGCTTTAGAAAAATTTACTTCAATCCTGGCCACATCAGACATTCAGAAATGGCTCTGGGAGACTTCTATCATGACAGATTCAGGTGAGGCTTGTATGTATGGGGAAAAAGCAGTGACAGTCACTATGGAAAACATCATCTGTGTTGTGTTGACCGTCAAGACAGTGTTGTTTTATCTTTTATCTATTTATTTGGCCATTGTTTCCAACTCAGCTATCTTCATCCATTATCTAGGATTTCTTATGTCAAAAAGATTTAGGATCCATCCAGTAGATCATGTTTTCTTCAGAATGCCACCCTGAAGCTCTTTTAAATGAGCCAACATACAGGTCATTTGGGAGAACTTCAAGGACCAAAGGTTGATTCTCTCTTCATATAAACTTTGTGAATTGCAGTTTCCTCATTGAGAATTGT